GCAGATATTTTTGGTTGGAGGAGCCCTCTTGGTTTGCTTGTCTTCCTTACCAGTTTATGCATCTTGACATGTCATTTCCTTCGTGGTCTTTCCACCCTTCCCACCCTCCCAAAATGGAGCTGCGAACGAATAATTAAAACCAAAAGGGCACCAACCCCTATCAGAAATGTCTTTCCCATTGGGTGAGCCATGGCTCGGGGGGGAGGGATCCTGGTGTAATCTGTAACTCAAAGGCTGCAGGCACACCAACTTGTCACGACAGCAAACCTGCTTCACAGCGGCAGCCTCTCAGCTCTTGGTAGATGCTCTGCTGTGCTGCCTGCCCTTTGCTGAGCAAGCAGCTTGAGTTATGGCTGGAAGGCAGCTCCCAGCCCAATGTAACTTCAGGTCCTCGGGTTGTACTCAGTCCTGGTTCTAGCTAGGTAATTGGTCCTGGTTGTCCTTAATGGGTTTGCTTCGTCTTTATTAGGATTGAATGTTTTTTATTAGGGCTTGAGGACTTTTATTAGGATTGTGCATGCGGATTTGTCCGGTTGCAGTGATGTCCGGTGGAACAGCTCACCCGCACCCATCTCTGAGTTCCCCAGTGTGGTAGTTTAACTGGGTAGTCCTGGGAACCCGACAGGTTGAGTTCATCCTTCTTGCCCAAGGGCACAGTTTTGATGCTGTTAGCCTGCTGTGAGCATCCTGCTGCAAGTCTGCAGAAGCTGAATGGGAACCTGCTGCACTGGGCAACCTTACCTGCTTTGTTTGGCTCTGAAATAGTCGTCGTGACCTGAAGCAGCAGCCTTAGTGAGCGAACCACGCCTGTGTAGCACAGATGTGTCCTGCACCTCTGCCAGAGCCTCACACCCAGGCAGTTTGCACATAATCACCTGCTGAGTGTGAGCTGTTAATGCAGGGGAGCAAATGGTGTGTTGGTGAGGGGCACCCGTCGTGCTGAGGGGTACTCGAGGCACTGCTGTGAGCGGGACGGCTGGGGAAGGAGGGAGGGATTTGGGGTGGGAAGGGGGCAAAGCACCGAAGAGCTTCAAAGTGGCTGGGTCCCGGTCCCAGCTGTAGCAGTATGTGAAATACTGGCCCGTGCTGAATGAGGAGATGGTCCCGGCATAATTCAGTGAAGAATCTGACTCAAAAATGTGTGGCTTTTCTTTAGATTTCCTCTTAATACAGTAAATAATCTCCGGCTTTGACATTTTAATTGTACAGCCCAGATGTAAAAACTTTCCACCAGACCCTGGCAGAAATCCCAGCAAACTGCTTCAAATGGAGAAGTTTTAAAAGGGGGGGGAAAAGTGTTTCTTGCACTTGTAAATTCTATTGTTTCAGAGTTTATCAGCTAACATCGAGCTCTCCAGGCTTTATAAGAAGCAGGATAAGTGTTGGAAGTCTCTGTGATAGATGTGGTGGTGGCACCTGAGGGTGAATGGTGTGTTTGGTGGGTAATGAGGGGGAAGCTTTGAACTTTTTTTGTTTTTTTTGTGGCCAGAGGCAGGCACCCGGTCACTGGTGTTTGGGACTGGGTAGTTAGGATTTTATCCCTGCTTGGAGCTTTATTCCCAGGTACCTGCTTGCAGGGGACAGGCAATATGGGCTCACAGCTCATCCCAACCAGCTGCTTGCTGCATGCTTCTGGTGTCACAGCCTCAGCGAGGAGCTTGCAGTGTGCTTGGCCAAGGGTTTTCTTACTTTTCCCAGCTCTGAGACCGGCTGTCAGTAACCTGGGGAGAGCCGGAGGGGAGCTGCTCCAACCCTTCCTTTCTCTGCTGGCACGGTGTGGGCTCAGCCCTGCGGCACAGCCACAGCGCCCGGGTGGCAGCATGGAAAGAATTCCCTTCTTCGGAGCCTGCCACAACTCCCAGATTGAGCGTTAATGGGATGCCAGCTATGATTAAAGAAGCGTGGGGATGGTCAGCCCTCCTGCTCGGTGGGGTGCTGATGTCGGGCTAACCAAAGCGAGGCTTTTGCACCCAGATTGCCTGGAGCACGATGTCTCCAATGTGGTGTCAGATCAACCCAATAGCTCTGGGGGAACTGCAGGCAGTGTCAGGCAGAGGCTTTGTTGTCTGGGTATCTCCCTTGTTCCAGCTGGAGACCAGAAAACCATCAAGAGAAGGCAGAACATAGCCCTGTAATCGGGCTGGTAAATCCAGAACATCCAAACGGGATTTAAACCCCAATGAAGCTGAATGAAGAGCTGGGTGGGTGGGTAGAGGGGCTGTAAATAAAATTCCCACGTGGGGCTGGAATAAAGCAGGAAGGAGACCGGTCTGCAGGCACAGCCACTGCTGTGGGTGAGGGCATCTGGAGCTCGTGAGGGCTGGAGCAGAGAGCTCAGTGCTGCTGCGGTGGTGGAGAGAGCAAGGGGATTAGAAAATCGCTTGCAAGCCCCCAGTGGCACGGCCAAGCTGCCCGTGGTGTTCGGCGCTGTTTGTGCAAGCCCTGTTTGTTATTTAGCTCTGGCTTCACAGGATGCCTGTGAGGATTGCTCTCCATGAGAATCGCTTGCAGATCGCTTTCATTGCAAGCAGGATCCCGCGGTACGTCCATGTGCAGCCGGGCCGGCTTCTCCTCGGAGCAGATGTAATGGTTTCTAGATGGAAAGGAAAGTCGGAGATGAAATAGATCATGACATGACATTCTCCAAGTTTATGAAACAATAAAACACAGTAATCATGGTTAAAATTTGATAAATATGTGGTGGTGTTTTTCTAGTGCAGAATACAGTTCTGCAATAAACCCTAATTAATCCAGTCTGTGTTAAACAGATAATTCCTTTTAAATTCAGAAACTTTCCATGCCCTGAACTCAGACAAACTTGTGTTGTAGCAGCCAGTGTCTAGCCCAAGGAGCACAAATCTTTTTGCTCTTTTGTTATTTTTTTTAATGTATGCCCTGAGCAAGGACCAAAAAAGGCTCGGGCAGCGCTGGGTGGCATCGGGCTCTGGCTGCGTGCACGCAGCCTCCTTCCTTGCTGTGAAGCCTAATATCTGCCTGCATGGGATGTAGGGGTTTGTTTTTTCATGTTTTTTCCCCTACAGCTCTGCTTTTCACCCCGTGGGCATGATTCCTTGCCCTTTCCCTCAGGCTGGAGTGTGTGGCTGTAGGGAGCCACAAAGGTCCCTGGGAAGCAGTCCCAATGGGCGAGCTGCTGGAAGGGGTTAGGAGTGAACTGGGGGCTGTGTGCAGCTGGGAGGATGCATGCTAGTTTCTTCCTGCTCAGAAATGGAGTTGGGAGCAATTTGGCTGCTCGTCCTTTGGTAAACCAGGACTTTGGAATATGAAAGCTGTGGGGACTGTGCTGGGGACCTGCGTGTTGGCAGCAGGGAGAGCATGCATGTCTCCTGCTCTGTTCAAGGCCATTTGTGCACAAAATGCTGCCTGGGTGATATCTAAAATTTGCTGTACTGAGCCTTTAGCATTCTTGAAAGCTGGAAGAGAGCCTGGGTGTTTGTACTGCTGAAATGAACCTCGTACTTGCTGCGTACACCAAATGGGATCTGCTCTTCAAACGCACCTTTTCACCTCTCTCCAGCTGTGGTTTTCCTAATGTGTGTACTTGGAACAGACCGAGCTGCCAAGCAAAACATGAGCTCTTCCACGTGCTGGGAAGAGAGGATGAAGTTCTGCTTCCTGAGGCGGTGCTGGCTGGGTTTCACGCAGGTAGTTCAGACCCACTGAAACTCCATTCTGGGGGTCGGAGAGAGAAAAGCCTGCAGTTGGCACTGACCTGGGGCTCGAGGGGTGTGTGTGCTTTTGGCTCTGCTCATGAAGATTTTTGTTTCCCTGCAGCAGGGATGCCTGGCCTCGTAGCACCGCTGTAAGGAGCCCCTTGCACTGGCTGCTGCTCTGCTGTGAAACCCCTCAGCAGTGTGAAGTTATAGAACGGCCCATTGAGGTGCATGAGAACTTGGTGGAATTAGGTGGAGGCTGCACTTCTCAGAGCTCTGTGCTGGTACAGTTTGCGTTGTGGTTGCTGGAAGAAGCCAGTAGTGGTCGTGTTGCCTCCTCCAGCTGGCAGCAGGGGCCTGGGAAGGCAGTGCAGTGGTGCAGGACTGCCCAGGAACATCAGGGTTGCTGCAGGGTGGTCTCAGGTAGCTTTATGTATCTTTACATGCACCACCATGAATTTAGGATGTATGACTCAAAACCTGACAACGTGCTGCTAGATGTTTCCCGAGGGAACACATCGATGCTGTGTTTGTTTGCTGGACTGATGGACTTCGTGTCCACAAAATTCATGGCTGTCACTGGAATCCTTCAGGCAGGCACATTGATGTGCTTTCACATACCTAAAATGTTAAAACGTAATTGTTTATTGATTGTTCAGCCAGAAAGAATTGTAGCAGACTGAGTTTTCACGCTGTTTACACCGTAAACATTTCTGCCATGAGAGCCTTGTGTTAGGGCATTGCACAGCCTGGGCTGATCTTGGCACCTCCGAGTGACTTCTCACTGGGCAGGATTCAATCAGGTTGAGTATGAAATACCTACAGACCTGCTTCTTCTAAACTTCTCAAATTTGGGTGGATCAGATGTCCTCAAACATCTCCATAATGGTCAGTAGGGCTCTGTGAGGGCACAGCAGGATGGGCTGCCAGGAGTGTGCTGCAGTAGGGGGTGTGTGTGCCATGTCCCCAGCCCTCGAGGCAGCAGTCTGGCTGGTTACGAGGACTGCTGCAGATGTGCACTGAGGCTTTTAAGTCTAAATTAACTTAAAGAAGTTATCCCAAGAAGCAGTAGGTAGTGAGGAACCCAGCGAGTGAATAATTTGATCTGCTTAGGATGGTTTCCATTTTCTTTTTCCTCTGAGCACCAAGAGGCCTTCTGCTAATTCTGACCTCTGAGTCGAGTGAATGCTTTAATTAGTGTGTGTGTCTATTGCTTAACCACGAGGAAAATCACTTGGAAGAAAGTTTGGGATTGTTTGGAAAACTAAATGGCTCGAACAGTTTCAGCCTGAAAACACCCCTGTTGGCATCAACACCCCTCTCCTTGCCCCAGCACCCTGCTTGGGTAGGAAATGAGGCGGTGAGAGAGGGAATCTGGTGACCTCTGAGAGGGCTGACAGTGTCCTTTGTCCCCTTGGGACAAAACACGGTCCTGAGGTCCTGAATTTCTGCCCTCCTCGTGGGAAGGAGTGGTGGTACTGGGGCTGTGAGAGAATAAAGGCTGTCCCGGTATGCCCCTGCGAATGGGGGCAGTGTCTGGTGCTGCTTAGGGATTGCAAGCTGACATAACACAGCCAGAACCGCTGTCAGGAAATTAACACCTCGCTCCTGGAATCACGTTGGTGAGCTCACACCTCCACCTGCTCTGCAGCTGAGTCCATTTTCGATGTGTGGAGGTGCCGGTGACTGCTGGGAGGGCCTCGCTGCAGCAGCCGTTCCTTCCTTTTTCCTTCCCCCAAAGGTCGGTGGCTGCAGATCTGTGGGGTGCCTTATCCAGCCTCATGACTCCCTGTCAGTGGTGTGAGCCATCCCTGAAGGTACTCTCACATCAGGTGAGGCTTTTTCCCTTACTTATCTTTTCCTTCCTCTGGGAAAGCAACTGTAACCATCCCGTGCTGTGGGAGAATCAAGAGCTGCTGGTTTTCCTCCTCTCCCCTTCGTATTGCTCCGGCTTTCACCTGATTTACCTCCTGGCTTGGAGTTTCCACCTCATGGTGAACGGCCCCAAGAGCCCCTGGGGTCTGTGGTGCTGGTCCCCTTGCTCCAGGGGGATGGAGCTCAGCACCATGGCACTGCCAGGTCCCTCACATCCACACCAGGTTGGTTAAACACCAAGTTTTTGGTTGTGAGCCCCTGAGCTCTGCCTGGCCCCTTGGCAGGGAGGTGCTGGGGCTGCTCTCAGTGCTGTGGGTCAGTGCCAGGTGGGCACATTTATTTAGGAGCGTGAATGCTCGTGAAGCCTGACCTCTGCCAGGCCCCAAACAAAGCTGCAGATGAGCACACCTGGAACCTGTGAGCCCAGCTTCAGCCCCAAAGGAAACTTGGGAGAAAGGCAAAGAGCTGTGCTCTGCTACGAGGGGTGGGAAAAGGGTTTGAAAAAATAAAGGGAAAAACCTATCAGCATTGCACTCATCTGATGATGGTCTTACCTGTGGGACATCCTCCTGACTGAGGGCAGTGATCCGGCTCTCCAGGTGGAATCCTTTTCCTCCCTCTGTACCTGCAATCAAGAGATGAATAATGAGGCTTCACGCATGAGCAGGAACTGCTCCTTCGGAGTAATCTTTACTAGAGAGAAGATTGTTGAAGTAACTGTTTGTAGTGATTAGTTCTGAGGTTTTTGGATTGAATCAACAGCAGATGTTTCTTCCCCATGACCTGTAGGAGAAGGGTATGTGTTTTCATGCTAGGCTGACTCCTCAGGGTACCCTGGAGGTAAGTCAGATGTCTTTAGAAGCCCCAACCTGCGTCGTGCCAGAATGCCATGTGCTTGTGGAGTGAGTGACAGGCAGCTCTGCTGGCCAGGGCAGCCTGGGATTTCCACAAGTGATTTTATGCTCTTGCAGCCAGCAACCATCAGGATGTGGTTTTTCAGACAGGTTTTCATGCTAATTGAGTTACACGTGGAAAAAACCAACGTGATACACAATCAGCTTCATTTTCATAGGCAGGCTGGAGGAAAAAAATATGACCAGAGGTTATCTCTGTGGTTCATTTCAGGAACTGTGGGCTAGAAAATAGGAACTTATTTCTAACACGTTACTTCATGTAGTTGGTTGTCTGCTAATTAAGTTTTATAGGTCGTCTTGGGCAGCTCAATTAGCAGGCGTCCATGTGAGTGGAAAGATGAAATCTGTGTAGGTTAAAATGTAAGAATCTGTTCTTTGTCACAAGCACTTGACTCTGATTTATGTGGTTATTGTTTAATTCCTTTTGTTCCTGACAAATGATGCCAATTTGGCTCTACTGGAATCCAGTACTGTGATTATCTACAGCAGAAGTACAGGACTGCGATGCTCGTGTTGGGTCAAACTGCCTTGCAAGAACATGTTTGAACGTGGCTAACCAGAGAAGAGGCATCTCCACCTGGTGCACGAATACCTCGTGTCCTAGGGACTGGGGCAGGACAGAGCTCTGTAGGATCCTGTGCTGCTGGCAGCAGGTCCCATGCTGGGCTCGTTGCTCCAGCGAGGTCTGTGACACGCTGTGCTTGGGCAGCAGAGCTCCCGGCAGGCTGCAGCGACTTCCCTGTCACCCACAGAGCTCTGCCTCGCACTGAAGAAATGGAAGCTTCGGATTTCATCATGATTTTTCTGAATTGGTGGCTAGACTTTGTTCTGACTTGCTTGCAAAACTCAGCTGCAGTTTCTTAGTAAGCTCTCCTGAATAATATAAAGATTTGGCTTAAATCCTTGCTTGTTTAACCTTTTTCTTCCATCCCTATCTCTCCTGGTGTACAGAAAGCTTTTAGGAACCTTAGCAGGGGAGATGTTTCCCGATTGGTATATTTTTCTCTTGGGAAAATATCTGGATCAGCTGTAAAACACGTATGAAATCCCCAGAGGACCATTTCCTCTGGAGTGACCCACTTTTATGGTGAGCGCCGAGCACACTCACAACCAGATACCAACTGGTTCCAATTTGCTGAGTGAATCCGTGCCCGTGCACGATGTATTTTCAGGGAGAAGCTCGCCAGATGCATTTTTCCTCGGCTGTTCAGTCTGATGTGGGAGTGCTGGGGAGCATGGGGCCAGCCCTGCTGTGCATGGGGGACACTCTCGTGGCAATGAGAAAAAAGAGCAATAAAAAAAAAGGAAAAAAGAGAAAAAAAAGAAGAGCAATACAAATGATTAAGGTAACTCCTTCTGACTTTGTTGCATCACACAAACAAGTTCAGAAAACAACGTGGTTGCAGTGAACTTGTTTTCAACATCAGCTGCGGGAGGTGGTGATGAAATCGCCTGGCTGCGTGCATGGGTGCCTCGCTTGGCAGCCCAGCTCTGTACGGGTCAGCTCAGTGTTAGTGTCAGAGCAATGAGCTCAAGTGTGCTCTGAGAAGGATCCGGCATTTCCTCTGGGGATGGCTCAGTAGCACCGAGGCACCCACCTGGCTCTGGTTTGGAAGCTGCAGCACTCAGTGCCCCTCCGCTGCCGGCTGCGTGGCATCACCTGCTGCTGGTGTGCCTTCTCCCTCAGCACCCCTCGTGCTTGTGATATCAAAATCCTTCTCTAAAAACTCACTTCTCTCCAGGCTTCAGGCTAAAAATGTCACATGGAACAAGTGGAAAATGCAGCGAGCGTCTCAGTTGTGGTCCCTCTGTGTCCCCGCTGCTGGAAGCTGTGAGCGGTGAATGAAGTTCTCCTGTTCTGAATGGGAAATGTAGAAGTTGGTGGGAGATGCACAAAATGCTCCAGTGCTTACAAATATTTACAGCCTGTAGAAAGGTATTTCTCAAATCACGTTTTTCTTTGAGTGCTCGCAGCAGTGTGGCCTCCGTGTCTAATTGGGGTGACTGAATAAACTCCTGCCTCGTGACGCAAGATCCACTTCACATGGTATGAAATGGATGCAGGCGTTTTCCAGAAGTTTGGGTTTGTTGAAGCAGAGCTTTCTTAGGAATGGATGAAATAAACAGGTGTCCCTTTTTAAAGGCTCAGAGGTGAAAATAGCATCATTACGGAACGGCCACCGGGAGCTAGGACAGAGCCCTCGGCTTGGTGGTGTGGGGAAATGCATCGGCTGTGCTGAACCAGGGACTGTTTCTCAGGATCCAAGGTTGAACTTCGCAGACCTGTGTGCTTTCTGGTGCTGGGTGCTTGATCCCACAAGCTGAGCACTTGAAGCCTGCTTTCTCTTTCTGTGTAGCTGTAGGCAGCTGGCTGACAAGGCTCTGCGCCACGTTCGGTTATTAAGCACCCTGCTCTGACATGTTTTATGTCTTGACCCGAAGACTTCTGCCTGTAGAGTCTTTATTAATGATCCTCTGGTGTAGGGGAACCCGCTGTGTCTGTCTCTCCATCAGCACATAGATTTTTCTAAGTGATCTAAAATGATAATTGAAAAAGGTCCCGCAGTTGTCATCACCCTTGAGCCAGTCAGAGACGAAGGCAGACGATGCAGTCGCGTTGAGGCTGTTCTCTGCCAGTTGCTGCCTTGTCCCTGGGGGTTTATCTTCTTTCCTTGCCATTACAGTGGGTTTCCCACTGTCTGTGATTGGCCTGGGTCCTGTAGGTCTGTGGTTTAATTACACATAAATCAAAAAGTGATTTAATGAAGGTCCAAGGTGTTTGGTGTCTTCTCGTGCCTCTTACTCTTGCCTTGGCTCCGGGATGCAGCTGTCCATTGCCCACAGGCAGCTTAGGAGAAGCTGGCTGCGGGGGCAGCTTCCTCCCCGGGGAGGTGCTGTTGGGGTAAGAGCATTGTTCTGAGCCTTGCCTGGTGCTTGGTGTTTCCCGTGTGATTTTTTTTTCAACACAGCATTTCCCTGCTGTGTTCCACTGTCCAAACATATAGCGTTACCCCAGTGCTCGCTTAGCGAGTCCTGAGGGCTGCAAACATTTCATAAATATTAAAACTCAGGGCTGGTTAAGTTTCAGTATGAGAACGGCGCTTTAATTTTTACAAATTATGTATTCCAGATCCTCTGGGGAGGATTTTATTTCTCCTAATGCTACGGTGTTGGTTTGGCAAAGAGGGGTGTAAATGGATTTTTATTCTTTTTTCTGGTTCATGTATCGTTCGCTGGGCTTTCCCTTCCTGTGGGGAGGACCTCATGGGGCTTCCAGACTTCAGAGAGACCCTGGGGGGCTGGAAGCTGGATTTTTTTTTCTTTATATGCAGCTGAACATGGATCAGGGCCCACAGGTGTGGCTCATGTAGCTGCTCTTCATCCCTGCTTCTTTCACACAGGATAAGGTCTCCAAAATGAGCAAGCCTAGATGAGCCAGGGTGGGATTACAGCGGCAGCAGCGGAGCCACCTGGAGCCTCCCGTTTGGGCAGCGATGGACATCCAGCAGTGCTCTGGGGCTGCTGCTTCACTGAGCCGTGCTGTGGAAGGATGTGGCAGTTGAACTGACTGCACTGTAAAATCTCTCATCCAACTTTGGACATCCCCAGATGCCAGCAGGAGGAAACGAGGTTTCTTGTGAGGTGCATGGCTGGCTGTGCCCCTCCTCGGGGGGCTTTTTCCCCCTCCTGCATATCAGGAACTGCTGCAGCTCTCCAGGCCCTCGCAACTACTGTTCCTTATGTTGTGATAAGCCACGGTGCTGTAATTCCCTCGTGAAAGGCATTGTTTGAGTGTGTTTAGGCTGCAGGAGCATTTATGACTTTTTGATGTGGTCTGATTATGAATATCGTGTGTTGAAAACACAGATAACTTGTTTAAACACACAGCACATGGGCTGGAAGGTGGAAAGTTTTTTTTGTTTTTTTTTTTTCCTCCGGTCCCACCGCAGCAGGCAGGGAAGGCACTGCCTGATACCAGCCGTGACTCCGGCAGTTCACTTCAGGTAACTGCTCGGAGGTTTCCTTCCCACTGGCTTATGTTTAAAAGAGCTTTGAGGAAAAAAACAAACGCTGCCTGGTGGAACTGCACGCATAAACCATGACAACAAAGCAAATGGGAGCTAAGTACCAGTTGTTTTCCTAAACTTGGGCTTTGAAGTGGGTCCCAAGTGCTGTGTACAAGTCTGTTCTCCAATTTTTTTTGCTGTATCTGCCTATTTTTCTGTGTCAGGTCTCTGCCTGCTTGCCCCAGAAGTCGTGCCTTGAGTACCTCGTGTGGGGCAGTGCGTGACGGTAACTGCTGCTGCGTGTTGTGAGATCCTGTCTCTGGAAGTGGTTTGCAAGAGACCAGGTGAGACAGCTTTGCCTGTTCCTTCAAGGTACTCAGCTCATGAGGAGCCAGGAGCTGGTGCTGAGGCTGGAGCACGTTGGCAGATGGGATGGGACGTGGCTGAAGATCTGTAACTCGGTTCGTGTCTCATTGCGAACCTGTTAAGGGAGCTGGCAGGGCTTGTTGCTGGCTGCTGTGGGTTGTCTTCAGCATGGCATTGTGAAAAGAGATGGGTAAATGCAGTGTGACCCCTCCCAGATGTGTGGATTCATGTGTGTAACTGCAAGCACAGCTGGATCTGCTCTGCTGCATCTAAAACCTGCCTGGAGAACAGGAAAACAGTCCTGTAATTTGTGCTGCTGCTGGGCTGGTTCTGGGTTTCCGTATGGACCTAGGGTGCTCTATCGTGTACAGAAACATCAGACTAGGATGTCAGAATGGGATTTCTGCGAAGCCAAAACATCAGCAAGTTTCAAGGAAAAGTTGGGTAACGCAAAGTGCTGGCAATGCTTGTGGTTCCTGAAACAACTTCAGATGCATAAAAACATTTTGATTAACCCAAGATAGCTGCAAAACGAGGCAGGACTTACACTAAGTACAGAATAAGTATTCGGTATAGAATAAGTCCTGCTTCATTTTCCAGCTCTATCTACCAGGCTGGAGAGCTCTGAAACATCTTTTCCGTGCACAGCTGCTCACGCACCGTGTTCGAGCAGTGTCTTGGCTTTGAGCTCCCCAATGGCTCAGCCGAAGGTGCATGTGATGGGTGGGTTGGGCTGGGTACCACCAGGGAAGGGCTCTTTGGGAGGGCTCCCCAGGGAAGTGGCCGTGACCCGGAGCCTCTTGTGGTTCAAGGAGCATTTGCGCAATGCTCTCAGATGTAGGGTTTGGTTTTCGGGTGGTCCTCTGCGTAGCTAGGAGCTGGATGTGATGAACCTTGTGGGTCCCTTCCAACTCGGGGTGCTGTGATGGCTTCGAAGGGGAGCGGGCTCTGCCGTGCTGCCCGAGTGGGACAAGGGACAGGAGAAATGGCCAGTCCCTGGGAAGCCCTTGTAAACCGGTGAGCTTGGGGTTTATTCTTGCTGAAACCCGAAGTGGTAACACCTGGTTTTAGTTTTTAAAGGAGCTTGTTGCTTCCACTACTCTATCAGGAGACCATGACATTTTCCATTACTTTAGGAAGGAGTTTGAGGAGTTTGTTAAACAGATGTACTACTGTGGACTTCTTCCAGTTTCTAAAAATACAAGCCCTGTTTTCTGGTCCGAAAGGATGTGTTTCCAGGCACTGATTACACTACATTTTGCCTATAGCTCAGCAGTGTGTATATATTATTTTTTCCGAGGAAAACCCAGAACTTCCAAGTATTTGGGAAGGAGTCACGGGTGTAAATTGCTGCCGCGCCACTGAATGTCACCACCCTGGTGCACACGGTTTTGGCCGCTTCTGTAATTGAGATCTGGTCCCGAAAATCTGCTTTAGCCTATACATTACAGTTAATTGTACCTTTTTTTTTTTTTTTTTTGCCTGTGAACATCTGATAGACTCTGCACATGATTTGGGAGGACTTGCTGAATGCTGAGACTTGATGCTGACAGCCGGAATCAATTATGAAACCTAATATGAGATTAAAAGGTTCCTGAGTATATTTGTAATTGAGTTGTACAAAATGCCTGATTTGTGCACTGGACAGTGCACAGAGACCACAAGCACAAATGAAGCAAATTATAATTCAATTATATAAATGCTTCCAGAGCACTTCAAATCGCGTCTTTAAGGCTGCTTAAAGCGGAGAAAATGCTTTTGCTATTTTCTTTCAAGGTACAAAAATAAGCTCTTATCTGAAGGGTGTCCTCTGTACTGCTTCTGGAAGCAAAAGAGAAAGAGAAAATAATCATTCATGGTGATGAAAGGCAGCCTGCTTTGGAGCTAGCTTGCAAGCCCTGCTCCAACTTCACTGCTTTGACGAGGTATCCGAGTTCAGTCCCCTGCAGAAGTTGTCACCAGCTCAGTCAAGGTTGACTTAAATTTAATTCAACCCAACTTGTTCCTAGCTTGGGATTTTTATTTTTCCTTTTGTTTATAATTTGTTCACTGTTGAACTTTTAAAAAATAAAGTATCGATGCACGCTTGGAAGCTTATCACAGTATTGCAATATTTAATTACCCACCAGCTGTTTGGTTTAGCTGCATGAGAAATTTAGTCCTTATTAGAAACAAGTGCCTAAGCCCTAGGAGGGGGAGGAAATAATTCAGAACCTGAAACAAGAAACCAAAACATCAGAAGCATTTGCAATGTGAAGGCTGGAAATGGCTTTTCTCTTCCCAGAAGGTGATTTGTAGCCCAACATTACCACCCACGGCAGGCAAACGAGGGCGTAGCTGTGTCCGTGGATCCACGGAGAAGCGAGGGAGGAGATGTGGAGCCAGTTGGGCTGGAGACTTGCAGGAGCCTTGGCAGCCTAGCTGGGAATGGGACACTTGGCAAGTCCTAGGAGGAACAAGAGGTCTTGCTTGACATAGGTCTGAGGCTAATTCGTATTGTTTTCTAGCAGGCTACTAGAAAAGTCAATAAATTCTTCTTAAATAACTTATTTTCCTGGTGGGACAGATGAAGGTAACGTGGTTTTATGCTACCATGGGGCCAACAGAAGACTGACAGTTGTGCTGGGCTTTCTTGGCCAGGCTTCCCAGCTCGCTGGGTACTGTTAGACCCCTGCGTACCCAGTTAAAATAAATATATATTTATATATGTCCTGAACAATGTGAGGGTTGGGAGGGGTACGCTGTTGGGCAGGCTGTAGCCACTCAGTAGATACCACAGGAAATTGCTTAATGAGAGCAGATAGAGGCGTGTATCTGCCTCCAAAAAATGTTTGGCGTGCGTGTTCGCGGATCCGGTGGGTTGTGCTGAGCTCCGGGAGGCCCCGGGGCAGAGCTGGCACCACGGCGCGGCGTGCCTTAGGGAATGAGTGCTGCGCAGATAAGGGAGGGCAAGGTTGCCTATTAATTTTAATTGTGAGTGGTGAACGGGCTTGCTGCTTACTGCAGGGTATCCTAAGGAAAAGCCCCGTTCCTGCACTGCTGGGAACTCTGACAGATCCCAGGGATGGTTTGTGCCTTGTCTGGCCCCAGGAGCCCAAATGGGATGCTCCTAGCACAGGGCCCCTCACCCAGGAGGGCCAGCGTTGATCTGGATGAAGGCCTCTGGTGTGAGAGGTTTATTTCTCACCATCGGATTGCTGCGTAAACAAATCATGTTCAGAATTAAGCTGTCTGTTCAGATATTTAGCCCAAACCTTCAGTGTTACCCAGCAGAGTAGCACTGCACATTAGTGCTGGTGGTAACTCCTGTGCAAGTCCCGCAGAGTTGTGATTTACCTACAGCTTTAAACTGCTGCCACCTGCACTCCATGAATATTTTAATTAAATCACCTTTTCCATGCGATTATGCACACTTTTGAGATGTGATGATGTAAATAGCATTTCACGTGCTCCCCCCGCCGGTCTCCGAGTCAGTGGAGCTGCAGCAGCGAGGGGCTGAGCGTGGTGCGGCTGCTCGCACTGCTGCTTGTGGGAGGCATTCCCCAGTGTCAAACATCTTGCTCGTTTCAGCTTCCTCTTTGAAAATGCTGAAGTTTGAGAGACCGTGTGATGGATTGCCAAAGTTCACATTTTAAATTGCATTCCTTCTGGGCTGTATAAGAAATAAATGAGCATCATGCTGCTCGTGCATTTCTTGTTCGCTTTATTATGTTCTGGTTTCAAAAGAAGTGATTTAAAAAAAAAAAAAAAAAACTTGTGAAATTAAATGTGTTCTTTTGCCAAACTAATGCATGTTCTGATGTAGTGGGGACCGGGTGCTCATGGGTGAGGTCTGTGTGCTGTGCGGCTCCGGGAGGTGCCAAAACCCCGTCACCCACCAAGCCCCAACTGGAGGTCGAGGTGCTGTGCAAGCTCTTTAGGGAGTGACTTAACACACATGCATGTGTTCCTGCAATTACCTTTTCTCTTAATTGCTTTCTGCTTTGATTCTCGTCCTTTAGCACGAGCAGTTTGTTCTCCAGCAGTGCCTGCAGTTGTGCACTCGCCTTCTTTCACCTCCCTGGGCATGGCTGCGTGAATCGCAGCCACTTCTGTGAGTGTCCTGGCTCTCCTCTGGCTGGTCCCGCTTCCTCCTCCTTTCTCTTGCTCTCCAGGTGGCAAAGCAGCAGGGCAGGTATCCCTGGGTCTCTGGCCCTGGGGGTTTGCTCAAAGGAGTTGCTTTGGGGTGTTCTTGGATATATTTTGACACTAACCCCCTCCCTGGAGGGTTGCATCTCTCAGCGGTGCCTGCAGGCTGCAGGACCTGGGCTGTGCAGTGTCTGGGTTTTCCACGCAAATATCCCAATGATAAAAAACAAGATCTCTTGTTCTTAGTTGTAAGTTTTTCCTTCTTTCATAAAGGCCTCATCTTCTGCTTGTGCTACCCTTTCACCAGGCAACAGGCTCTGAATAAGACCGCAGAGAATTAAGAAGAATCTTGGGTGTGCTTGGGTGAGCTGGGGCCAGGGGCAGCTGAGGTTGATCGGTACCGTGCAGGGTGGTGCTACTGGGATTTGGGGGGAAAAATCTGGAATAATCTACCCTCAACTTGGGGTGAAGATGAAGCGTAGGGGCAAAGCAAAGCTTAGAGGTTAGGAAGAGAAAAAAAAAAAAAAAAAAAAGCTCTTCAGACTTCCCAGAAATGCAGAAGTGTCCTGCCCAGCGCAGTTTTACAAGAAAATAATGTAATTTCTCAAACCCTGGTGTTCTCTGGTCGGGGAACGCTGTTCCAGGACAGCTAATGTTCTGTCTGGGGAAAGTCTCCTGAAGCAGTTTTGTTTCTCATCTGTTAAAAACTCCTCTCCCTTCCCTTCCCGCACTCGTTCCTACCTCAGTTAAACTGCGAGGGTGAGTACAAATTTATGATGGTTTTGTGCCCAGCTTGAATCTGTGCTTTTTATGAGCAATGTTGTACATTTCCTCAGCTCTGCTGAACTGGATGCCTTCCTCCCTTGAACCATCAGGAAAGCTTCAGTGCAGGATATCACAAATGTATGGTTTAGCTTCTCCTTGCAGTAATGACTTCATTTTTTTATTACTTTTTAGCCTGAAATTAAGACGTTTGCTAGCTCCCTTTCTCCAGTGGTTAATTAAAAAAAAAAAAAAGGGGGGGGGGTGGGGGGGAGGGCACAGCAAGAGAAACAATAAAACTATGAATGAGTT